TGTGCGTGTGCGTATGTGTGTGCGTGTGCGTGTGCGTGTGCGTGTGCGTGTGCGTGTGCGTGTGCGTGCGTTTGCGTGTGCGTGTGCGTGTGCGTGTGCGTGTGCGGGTGTGGGTGCGGGTGTGGGTGTGGGTGTGGGTGTGGGTGTGGGTGTGGGTGTGGGTGGCGTGTGCGTGTGCGTGTGCGTGTGCGTGTGCGTGTGCGTGTGCGTGTGTGTGTGCGTGTGCGTGTGCGTGTGCGTGTGCGTGTGCGTGTGCGTGTGCGTGTGTGTGTGTGTGTGTGTGCGTGTGCGTGTGCGTGTGCGTGTGCGTGTGTGGGTGTGGGTGTGGGTGTGGGTGTGTGTGTGGGTGTGTATGTGTGTGTGTGTGATAGTGTGTGTGTTTTCCCTTCCTGAGAAGGGGCCCTGGCGCCTCCTGAGCAGCCGCCCCTGCCTCCGGGGAGGGCCAGGGAGGTCCTCCCAGAGGGCGCGAGGGCTTCCGAGGAGCCTTGCCGCCGCACTGGGAGAAGGACTGCCCCCTCTCTCGTTAAGTCGGGCCTGTCCACCTGCAGGAGGATTCTGGAACAAGAACTAACAACACCCCCCCCCCCCAAAAAAAAAATACCCAACAGATGCTCAAACATGGTCAAACAACTGGTCCCCAGATCTTGATCATTTTTGAAGATTCCCCCCGTAGAGGGGCACGCCCGACTTAGCTCTCCCGGGCGCGCGCAGACATGGATTATTCGCGATCCATGGATTTGGCGCGCGGTCGCCAGAAGCCATGCATCGGGAGAGGAGCCATCCCAAAAGTGCGGCGGATGCCGCCTCGCTCAGCGGCGGGCCTCCGCGATGTTGCATGGGAACGGGACCCGTCGCCATTCCACGCCCCCTGGATCCATGTTTGCGATCGCCTGACTCTCGCTTCCCTCCTGAGCTCTCAGCCGACAAATCCAAATCACGGTGCACAGTTCGGTGCGCCCGAAGTGAGCGCGCCCGAAGGGAGTACGAAGGGGCTTTGGCCATGGTGAGCGTCCCTTCCGGAGCAAGGAAAGGCCACACCAACGCCACCAGGGCGAGGAGGCTCGAGGAGCAAGGGGGGCCTCCCTGGTGGTGTGGTCCCCCCTCTCGCTCGAGACATCCCCAGCCCCCAGCTTGAACGAAGGATTGCAAAAAAACCCCTTCGACGAAGGGGTTTTTTTGCAATCCTTCGACGAAGGGGTTTTTTTGCAATCCTTCGATCGAGACATCCCCAGCCCCCAGCTCGGGGAGGCATCGTGGACCTCCTCGCTGGAAGTGGCCCCTCTGGTGGTGCTGGTGTCGCCTCTCCCCGGACCCCTGGGGCCCCGGCGGGGCCCCCGGGGCCGTCAAACAACGGCTCGAGATGAGCAGCTGGTCGGGCTCGACCAGCGAAGAGAATCCCGGATGCCTCGCGCGGGAGCCTGCTACGGATTGTCGTTGGGTGCACGTCGGCTCCACGCAGGCTCTACAGTCGGGGTGGATTGGAGAGGACACGCGAGAGGACATAAGACCCTTCCGAGGGCCATATTGCCACAAGAATGTGAGAAGACATGGGTCGCGAAGTTCGGGACACAAGGGTAACCTCGATGCGGCAGGGTCGACCTACCAATCAGTATCGACTGTACGTCAGGCTTACGTCGGGGCATAACCGCGCGAACGTCGTCCCATGTCTGACGAACAAACGTGTGGACTACATACTGAAACCATTGGCGCACCGCGCGAGGCCCCCTGGATTTTCAGCATAGCCAGAGGTGCCCCCAAATCTCCGCACCACTGTCATTAGGTCAGGCATGTTCTCCAACACGGGAATTTTGGACGAAAAATCAAAAAATAGAAAGATCTACCCAAAAATAATCAAAAATACTGAAACATCGTCCGCTGACTATGGTTTGACTATCCTCGAATACTCTCCTGTAGAGGGACAGGCCCGACTCAACACTGCCAGGACGAGAGAACGGATGATTTCCACGGCGTCAAGGCGCAACCGGCGGCCCTCGCCTCTGGAGCCCGTGCAGCACAACAGACACTCCCAGATCTCCGACGACAGTAGAGGCCTC